CCCTGGAGAGAACAATCATGAGAGAAGGAAGAGTTGCTTATGCACAGGGAGATAGCTCAGGGTGCAGAAGGGTATGAAGGGATGGACACTGGGAGGAGGTAACTATGGGGAGGAAGTGGGAGGGGAGCTTCTGCTGCATTGTAAATTTTGGTCAATGACATGAGACAAAGTATATGTGAACTGCTGTATGAAAAGTGAATGTACTCTGTAAATTTTCACCCAAATCCTAATAAAATAAAATAATGATGAATCAGTGAATCACCTCATAATGCTGATGAACTTGGAATACATTATGCTTAGTGAAATAAGTCAATCACTGAAGGAAAAATACTGTATGAGTCTATTACTGTAAAAAGTCAAGGAAACTTTTACACACAATATAAATTATTTTTTTGTTGGTTATCTAGGATGCGAGGAGACGGGAAGGGAGGGAAAGTAGATGCATAATTAAGAGACAGGTTGATATGGGTAAAGGAAAAGCCAATATAACAAGTGTGTGGCTTACAAAATATCACTAGGGAAAAAGAAGATATGGAGAGGTACACAAGAGACAAGAAAGGTGCACAGACAATAAAGAAAGATTATTTCAGACACAATACTGCATTAACAGTAATAGCAAACACTGATCTACAAGTGGATACATAAGTAAACAGGTATGGTTAGGCAAATGAGAATATACCCATGACCATGCATAAGTTTGACTGACTATATTCCTACATATGCCTTTGTATGTGTTATAAAAATCTCCATATGCAGTTTAAACATAACAGGAGGCAAAGTTAGATTGATCTCTTAGCCACAAATGAGTATCTTAGAAGAGTAAGTCAATGAACCTTCAGGTGAGGGACCATAGTCATGGAGGACAACAAGCTCAATTAGTACAACATGATATACAGAAATATTGCTGTACATTTCACTTTGGTGAGTAACAACTGGGGTCTTAAAAGCTTGCAAGCGACCCTCTAAGTGGTAACTATTAGTCTCTCCTTGACCAAAGCAAAGAAGAGTAAAGAAACTCAAAGACACATGGAAACGGTCAGTCCAAAAGAACTAATGGACCTATCTATATATGACCTTGTGACCAGAAGAACCAGATGGAGCCCAGTTACCAGTGCCAACCAGGCAGAAAGGGATCAAAATTGGAGATCATGTATAGCAGGGAGAAGAATGTGGAACAAAACTCAAAATCATAAAAAATAACAGGCTTACTGGTCTGACAGAGACTTGTGAAATCCCCAAGACTATGGCCTTGGGTCACCCTTAGGGCCTAGAATTGATCTTACTTTTGTGGCTTAACTTTCAGCCAGACAATAGACAGGAATATGAGCTGAGCACTTGCATGAGGGAGACGCACTACTTAGAACAATCAACCATGTGAGATCAGAACGGTAGAATTTGCACAGGGAAAAATAGAAGGAGGCACGAATGCATAGGCAAGAAAACAGAGAAAGCGTAACGTCAGGGAGGAAGTGGGAAGTAAGATGTTACACTGTGGGGAATCTCACCAGTATCACAAAACAGAGTATGTATATGAACTGTTGAATGCAAAATTACTCTGTTCTGTAATATTTCACCCAAATCACAATAAAAAGTTGAAAAATAAAAGTTTAAAAAATGCCCTATCTAGAAAATTTCCCTATGAGTGACACCAGTGATAACTCTATGTCAGAGGTGGCACCTGAACCTTAGCCACCCAGTATAGCCACCTTCCAGATTCTACTACTGGCTTACCTGACTACAATCTTGGTCCTTTCACTTAGGATCAGTGCAGGTCTCTGCCCATGTGTTATATAAATGAGCCATAGATGGCTCCTGTGTATTGGCCTCAGGTTGTGCTTTTCTTCATAGCAAACTGGGACCTATCAGCCCCAAAAGTCTGCCAAAGCCAAACTCAAAATTTTACATGTCCAATTATTTAAAAGTAGCTCAAGTAAGCATATTTTTAACCATTTAGGGAAGTAAATGATTAAATGCCTGCTTTGTATACCTTGTGAAAATGTGACCAACATATCCTAGCCATAGATAAGATAAATCCTGCAATTATTAGGAACTCAAGCTGGTTCTGCTTTTCAGACTCTCTGAAGCAAGCTCCATCTTGCTGCTGAAGACATTGTTAGACATATGTAACCCTCTGCCCTGGGATTTCACTTCATTTCTTCCCTTTCTGGTAGCCCCTTGTGTCACTTGCCTTAGTAAGGTCTGCTGTTGAGAGGGAATTCCACTATCTTCACCAAGTAGTACCTAGTCAAGGCATCAGGCTCCTAATAAATAGCTTATTGTTCAACATTGCCATCTCATGGTCAAACCTTTTTCTTTGGTTATCCCTAAACTCTCTCAATCTCACTGCACCAAGATACGATGAAACTCTGGCCTAATAGCTGCATTGTCAAGGCCTAATGGGAGCTCTGTTAGCGTAGTGCCTAAGGCACTTGACTGCTAACCGAAAGGCTGGTGGTTCAAACCCATCAGCCACTCCTCAGAAGGAAAATGGGGCAATCTACTCCATTAGTGATACTGCCTTGGAAACCCAAGGAGGGGTCGCTATGAGTCAGGTCCTACTTGATGGCACATAACAACAACTATAACAACAAATGGCACAACAGCCACCCTATCCTTCAGCCCTGACCCATTTATCTCCCATCTTCCTCAAGTATATATATATGCTTGAGAACCAGGGCTTTTTCTATGTAGCTGGCAGAAACCACATGTTGAGAAGCTACTTAATGGGCTTGGCTGTTTTTAAATTGGCACTCTATCCTGACGGCTGGCGGTTCAAACCCACCAGCCACTCCTCGGAAGGAAGGTTGGGCAATCCTACTTCCGTAGTGATACTGCCTCGAAAACCCAAGGAGGGGTCGCTATGAGTCGGGGCCGACTCGACGGCACATAACAACAACAACAACAACAACTCTATCCTGTATCATACTAACATATTCCTTGTATTTCATCATCTTTTCCTCAAAACTTCACATCTCTTTTTGAAATATAATCTATGAATTCTCTTTCTGACATCTCTCTTGATGAATAAATTATACCAATGTTCATATATAATGGTTTAAACTATTTTTTACAGTTCTTTTGTTATCTTATAAAGTACAAATTCTTACCAGAAATCAAGTTGCTGAAGTACCATCCACATAAAAAATAAAGGATTGAATCAAACAGAATCATCCAGCAAACCCAGCCAAATGTCATTTTCCCTTGTTCCAGGGACTGGTATATATTATTCCACTGAATCCCTAGCAATAAGGAAAAGGTCAGAGTTAAAACTGAGCATCCTCTTTTAGTGTAGTTTTTCGTAAGATGACTCCATTAATTCTGGAAGCTCAAGTGAACCAGAAAACTGCTAAAAGAAAACAAAAGTCAATAACATTGGTCACAATTTTTTTCAAATGAAATAATACCTTTCTTAATTCTATAATTATTTTAATGATATTATGTGGAGTGATCCTTAAAAATATTTTAATATGTAACATTTAAATTGTTTTAAAAGGTTGTTTTACTTTTATCTAATTTTATTTGATCAACTAGAAAAAAAATCTACATCTAAGGAAATATGCATGTTTTTAAAAAATAAATAGGGTTCTTCAAGAAATTAAACTTCAAATTTTATTATCTTTGTTTTATAATGTATAGATACATACAAAGAGAGAGAGAAACAGATCTATAAATAGAACAAACAAGATGTATAAGATCCTGGGTGGTAAAGAATCATTATTTTCTTATAATGTCTTTGATATTTATACTTCAATTATAATGTCATTTTTAAAGAAAAATTTCCCTATTTTTTTAAATTTCCTGAACAGGTGTGGGTGTTAGCCTCATATGCATGTGAAAGCAGGACAATGAATAAGGAAAACTGAAGGAGAATCAATGCTTGTGAGTTGCTGTCTTGGCGAAGAATAGTGAAAGCACCATGGACTGCCAGAAGAACTAACATATCTGTCCTGGAAGAAGTGCAGCCAGACTGCTCCTTAGAAGAAAGAATGGGCAGACTTCACCTCACCTACTTTGGTCAAGTTGTGAGAAGAGACCATTAATTGGAGAAGGATATCATGCTTGGTAAAGTAAAGGGTCAATGAAGAAGGGGAAGGCCCTCAATGACATGGATTGACACAGTGGCTACAATGATAGGTTCAGGTATAGCAAGGACTATGAGGATGGTTCATGACCAGGCAGAAATTAAATTTTGGCCTAGAATTAAATTTTTAAAAATGTTTTAATTGAAAGAGATCCGGCAAGATGGCAGACTAGGCAGAAAGACTGCACAGACCCTCTTCAACAAAGAAAAGGGAAACCAATTAACACAGACACAG